TTACACATCAGTTTAATGTCAGAGAGGAATGCCTTGGAATGGCCTGGGGGGTGGGAGTGGGGGTGATCCACATTTTTTTGGTTGATACTTTAAGCCATGAATCATTTATGCAGCTGTTCCTATCTCTGGTCCCATCCTCCAGTACTAGGGGGGAGACAGGACAAGAACACTTAGGAAGAATGTCTTGGCCACTACTGCACCATTCCCCTTCCCCCTCCCCCACAACAAAAGGAAGGTAGGTTAGGCTTGTCCTTGGTTACCCTGGGGGAACATGAGATCATACATCTAGAGCAGGGGTCATCTAATCCTACTTTCTTATTTTACAAAATGAGTAAACCGAAGCCCTTAGACAGCTAAATGGATAAAGCGCTGGAGTTGGAGTCAGGAAGACTCATCTTCCTGAGTTCAAATATGGCCTCAGACACTCACTAGCTATGTGACCCTGGGCAAGTCACTTAACCCTGTTGGCCTCAGTTTCCTCAGCTTTAAAATGAGAAGGAAATGGCAAATCACTCCAGGATCTTTGCCAAGAAATCTCTAAATGGGGTCAGGAAGAGTCGCACATGATTGAAAAAGTCACTGAACAAACTGAATCCCTGGGACACCAAGCATCAGAGGTGAGAGGTGAACCCGTAGCAAGTATTAAAAAAACCTATAGTAGAAGACATTGGTAAGGAGGACCCCTAATTCAGAGGGGAGAGGACACAGGTCTGTCTGGGCTGGACACTATGAGAATAAGTATATAATAGAACCTAGTGTCCTCATGGGGTAAGAGGCTCCATTCTGTCCCCAGGTCAGATCTCTTATCCCTGTGGATAGCAATATAACAAAGAAGGCTTTATTATTGTTCTCATCCTCCTGTGCCCAATTATGGCTTTGGGAGGACCTTCCAAGCCCAAAAGTATTCAAGTGCCGGCCTGCCTACCGAGGCTATATCCAATAACCAAGGAAGGACCAGCCTAGTTAAATTGGGGAAAAAACTCATTCTCAGATTGGCCACAAGATGATGGATTTTTGGAGCTACCACAACTTTTGGAAATCATCTGTGTTGTGGCATGGTTGTGATGACTGGAAGGAGTCCCCACCCACACCCTCATGAGCTTCTTTTTTTTTGTTTGTTTGCAGAGGTATGGGGTGGGACACTATGAGTGCAGTACATTACATATGCAGTTATATACTAATGGGTAGGAGCTGAACTGTTCTTTCTCTTTGTTACAGGGAATGACTCTTTGGGAGGAGGAAGATGGAAGAATAATGATGATGATGATGATGATGATGATGATGATGATGATGATAACCAGCATTTACTATAGCTCTTTAAGATTTGCAAAATGGTTTACAAATATAGTCTCATAGAAAAATGGTATCTGGGGGCAGCTAGGTGGCACAGTGGATAGAGCACCAGCCCTGAAGTCAGGAGGACCTGAGTTCAAATCCGGCCTCAGACCAAACGCTTGTCACTAACTAGCTGTGTGACCTTGGGCAAGTCACTTAACCCCAATTGCCTGAAAAAAGAAAAAAAAAAGAAAAGAAAAATGGTATCTGCCTCCAGAAAAAGAACTGATGGTGTCTCAATGCAAAGTGAAGCATATTATCTTCCTCCCTCCCTCCTTTCTTCCTCTCTCCCTCCACCCCTTCCTCCTTCCTTCCTTCATTTCTTTCTTTCTTGCTTTCTTGCTTTCTACCTTGTTTTCTCCCACAAAATGACTAATATAGAAATATGTTTTATGTGATTGCACATGTATAACCTATATTAGATTGCTTACTATTTCAGGGATGGGGAAGAGATAGAATTTGGAACTCAAAACTTAAAAAAAAATGTTAAAATTGTTTTTATATGTAATTGGGGGAAAAATAATAAAATTTTAAAATTTAGTTATTATTAAAATTATTATTACTATTAAAAATATAGTCTAATTTTATCCTCACAGCCCTGAGAGGTAGGTGCTATTATGATCCTCATTTTGCAGATGAGAAAATTAAAATAGGCAGAGATTAAGCAATAACTAATGAGTGTTTGAGGTCAGAGTGAAATTGGGGCCTTTTAACTGCTGGTGTGCCACCCAGCTGCCTATTTGGAAATGAAGGTGATAACAAAAGGTATCAATTAAAAAAACATCACAAAGGGCTCAAGTAATCTATTGAAGTAAATGCATTACCAGAGAGAACCCTCCCCTCTCCCCAAGTTCAGAGACAAGAGTCCAGTTTTTCTGGTTATATAAGAAATATTTATTTTAACAAGAAGATAAGGCAGTTAGAGGGATAGATTGTGTATAAAGGAGTGGTCCTATCAGAGTCAGGAAGGCTGGACAGAAATATGTATTGGAGGAGGGGAATATACAACATCTCCCATCCCCCTGGCCTTTTCTGACTGCTATTGGGGAGAATATTCTGAGTCTTCAGGAAGTTGCCCAGAAGTTGTGATGGCCATAGGAAAATCATCTCCTATCTTTTCCCAAATGGTGCCCCCAAGACTCACCCTCTGTTACTCCCTCACTGCACCCCTCCCCCCTACACAGCTGTCTATCTCAGCGACCAACTAGGAAGGAAGAGAAGGAGAAAAGAGATAAGACCAAGAAGAAAAAGATGATCCAGAGATTCTTCCTCCAGACCCTGACAGATTGACCTTAACATTGGTGTTGGGACAATGGGGCAAGATAGTGGTGGGTCCCTGGAAGGCACAAGCCCTACTTACCCTCATCACTAATGACTGTGAGAATAGAGGTTAGGCTGAAAGATGAGAAGGCAAGCCCTCTCTTTCCCATCAATGGCCTTGTTTAAGGTACTTGACAGAGAAAGGGATGGGGGCCAGTTTCAGAAATGATCATTTCTTCTAGGTGTGAAGATTGGGAAGCCTGAGCTGCCCCTTACAGTATATAGTATCTCCTCCTTCCCAGGCATGGAAAGGAGTGGGGACCCTCACCACCAAGAGCAGAATCTACTGTAGTAAAGGGGTAAGGGAAGGTGAGAGTGTGACAGAGGGAGGCTATAGAGGGGTCATTAGGACCACACTTTTATTTCCTAAAATAATTTTATCGAGAATATAGAGATAGAGAAGAAAACCAACTGACCCTTGGGGAAGTGGGAGGATGCTATGGAGTATAGGGTACAAAATCGTTCAAGTCAGGGATATAGGAGGCTAAGGCAAGAATGTAGGAGGACAGAATAAAGCTGGAGGTCCAGACCTCCATCTCAGGAAACCCCCAACTCTTGGATGCTCCAGATGTCTGTCTGACTTCCTTCCTCAAACCCAGTTCCATGTCCAACTTGTACATGTAGAAGGAATGAGGGTAACAAGAGGGCAGTTCTTTATTTCCAGTTCCAGCTGGGCCCCCACCTTTGCCACTCTAGGGGACAGGAGGCAGGTCCTGGGGCTCCTTTATCCACACATGGGTCAATACCATCCACTGTATGAAGAAAGGTGGCCAATCAGGGAATGAAACCCTGAAGTTGCAATTGGTCCCCACCTAGAAGGAAGAAGTTTTCCCCTACCTGCTTCCCAACCCAATGCCCATACCTGGAGTAGGTCCATGACAACTTGACCAGTATTCTCAACATCCATGTTAGCAAAAAATCCTGGAGGGAGGAAAAGGAAGGTTGAACATGGTGTAGGGTATAACTGGGAGCCTGTAAGAGGTTAAGATGCATGTCTGGAAGCTAACAGGAATCCTGGTTCCTTCCTCCTTTCCATTCAACCTTCACTAGCCTGGGTCAAGCTTAAGGGAGCCTCTTTAGATGTTCTGTGTGACAGAAAGAAAGAAAAGGAGCAGTCTTCGGGCCTGGGAGTGGGGTAGATATAGATGGTAGAGAACGGGCTAAGAAAGGTCATGTTTTGAGAATTAGAGTGCCAGGCCAGGGATGGGAACTGTGTATTGTGGCAGACTGAAGGATTCTGGAATGGGAGAATATGAAAGTGGGGATGAGAATTCAGTGACTCACAGTACATGGCCTCCAGCTTGACAAGGCAGCAGACAAATTTGTTAAAACTGATGCTCATGTTCTCATCTGAATAGTGGGATACTAGCACCTGGAGCAACTTGTTGTTAGTTTGATGCCTAGTAAAGGAGATGGGGGAGTAGGAGAAATTAAACTCTGCTCCATCACTCAGATCTGTAAGGAAGAACTCTCCCCTCCCAACCTTTCCCCTGCATAGAAACAACCTTGCAACACCCTCCTCCAACCAAAGCAGAGTTGTATCCCCAGGCCCCCAGGCTGCCCTCTTCACTGGCTGCTTCCATGGCCAGGCCCATCTCATAGGAGTTCATAATGCCAGACTTATCTGGATCATCTTTGAGGAAGATGGCCTGGTGGGACAGAGAGATGGATGGTAACAGGGCATAGGGGATGTGTTAGGGTGGATTGAGGGTGAAGAGGGTATGGCCAGCAGCAACGAGAAGGGGATAGAAAACAAGACAATGAAAGAGAAGGGACAGGGGAGTGTAGTCTGGATGGACAGTAAGGCCCACAGAGGAGGCCTCCTCTCTCCCAAAGGTGTAGTGGAATGGGTCTTGTGTGCATGACCCACAGGGGTCTTGTGTGGAAGGCACTCTAAGAAGTGCTATCAAAATAAAAGCTTTTGCTTTTGTGTGTGTGTGTGTGTGTGTGTGTGTGTGTGTGTGTGTGTGTGTGTTGTGTGTGTTTAATCAGGGTATGGACAGGAAGAATATTGAAGAGTAGCAGGAAAGTAAGTTTCCTTCCCAGTTCTCCCATTCCTTCACACCAAGTGCAGGCCTTCCCCCTTGTTCTTGGGATGTTCTTGGGATGAAGCTAGTCCACTCATCCCTCTTCTTCCTCAGCCCCTTCCTGTCATTTCTTTAGTGAGGTAGGGTGGGGGAGGAGAGGGGATTTTAACCCTATATCTTGCCTCTGCCTAATTCACTTACCTTACCAAACTCTCTAGATACCTACTTTCCCTGATACACATGTATACACAGCCTGTCCCTTGCCAATTACCCCCTTCTTATCAGCCACTTCTGAATCTTGTTCCACAGGACCTGAAACTACACCATGTTCAGGTAACCACTGCCATCAGTCTGGAGGGAGGGAGCGGAGGTCAAGGGGAACAGAGAGAAAAGGGATCCCCTAGGAGAAGGACAGCTCCATAAAGAATTGCTTGAATCTCCTACTCTCTCACCCCTAGCTTTGACCCCTTCTCACCTCTCCTCCTAGTTGCTCAAATATTTCCTAAAGGGATTCTTCCACATCACCCTCATTAATTTTCTCCTAGGGGCAGAGGGACAATGAAGGAGTGGTGAACTTTCCAGGGCTCTAGGTCACAGCCCCACCCCACAATTCTTCAGTCTCCCCCCTTCTCCCATTTCTCCCCTTACCAGATCAGGCAGTGCTGCAGTGAGATTATAATCTAACTGCCTGGAGAAAATTGAGGAGTAGTTGATTTAGGGATAAGGGGAGTAGGTCAAGGATCATATAGGAGGCTGAAGATTTTTGGAGGAGGGGAAAAGAGTCTAGGACAGCCCACATAGAGGGGGAAAAGTACTAGATTGGACATCAATAGACCCAAGATCTAATCTCAGCTTTCACATTAACTAGCTGTGTGACCTCAAGTAAAGCACTTCTCCCTGGGCCTCAGTTTCATCATCAATAAAATAAGAGGTATACATATATATATATATATATATATATATATATATATATATATATACACATATAATCTATAAAACAGGCTGGTATGAAACATTCTTTCTGATTCTGAAAGTTTATGTTCTGTTATACAGACTCTTGGAGTTGGATGGGGCCTCAGGGCCATCTAATCTAAGCCTTATTTTCAACAGAAACACCCTTCTACAACATAATAAATGGTCTCCTACTGATGCTCATGTTCTCATCTGAATAGTGGGATACTAGCACCTGGAGCAAGACCTCTGCTGATGGGGGCATGGAGGCATGAGATGCCTCTCTCAGGGCAGCCATTTTCACTTTTGGACTGCTCTCATCATCAGGGAGTTTCTCCCTATATCGAAGCCAAATGTGCCTCTCTGTGACTTTGGAGCAATGGTGGACACATACACACAAGCACTTAGAATTCTGGGGCAAGGGGGAGGGGAAGAGGGAGAGCAAGCAGTCAGACTTGGACTCATTGAAGTTTGCTACATTTCATAGTGAAGACTCGAATCACAAAGTCAGCCTCCTGGTGGGGTTGGAAGGTAGAAGGCACAATGATATATTCCCCAGGAGGTAGTTGAACATGGACACAAACATCCCTCAGGCTGGTGAAGTTTTCAGACTGGGCTATGCACAGATTCTTAAGGAAGAAATCCTTCTTCAAGTGTATATTACTGATGCCCTGCAACTGCACGGGCACAGGATGGGGTGGGGGACTGAGCACAGCAGCGGACTAGACAGCAGGGATAGCGTGGGTATAGCATAGGCAATGAGGACGGGCCACTCTGGGGAGAGTAAAGGGGAAACTCAGCTTTCAGCTTAAGTGGGTTCAAGGCCGTGTTTCAGTAGAAACTCACAAGAAAGAAGATAAGGTGAAACCAGGGGTTGGTGAGGTCTCCTTGTCCAACTTAAAATGGTAATAGGTCCCCTGTCTCTCTAAGACAAGCCATTTGTCCTCCAAATCTCCACTGTAGCTGAAAGGGGGGGATATATGCCCCCACTCAGTGCCAGCCTGTTTAAAGCCCATTGCTATGTCTTCCATACCTCCTGTGGAACCTGGGGAAAGAAGAAAGAGGGAGGGTCAGGCCTCAGAGATGAGGGCTGGGACAGATGACTTAAAATATCTCTTCCTGTTCTCCCTCTCTTTCCCTCCCTTTCTTTTCCTCTCTTTTCTTCCTTCTCCTCCATCGTCTTCTTCTTCTTCTTCTTTTTTTCTTCCTCTCTCTCTCTCTCTTTCTCTCTCTCTCTCCCTTCTTCCCTCCTTCCCCCATAGCTCTGAATCTGGGAGATCCCTACTGGGAGTCCCCTGAGCCATGTCTTTAAAAGGTGTGAAAAGTCCAGAGTCAGGAAATGGGAAAGGTTTACCTTAGGGTGAGTGCCACTTCAGAAAGGTTAAAGACAACAAGGTATTCCCGTATATGTGTGTCTGTCCATTATGTGTGTTCTGACACATGCACACCCTATGTGGAGCAGGGATTTAACAGTGGTACAATGGAAAAGACAAGTATAACCATGTGTGGCCACAATGATTCATGCATTCATCCAAACAATAAGTGTCTAATATATGAAAAGCACCATGCTCATTATTAAAGGTGAGAGGGCTTGCAAACCTTCCCCACATTCCATGTATTTTGAGCAAGAGTTTTTAACACCGATTCCACAGACTAGATTTCAGGAGGTCTATGAATTTGGATGGGGAAAAATTTACATCTTCATTTTCACTAACCTCTAATCAAATTTATCAATCCTTTATCATTAAAAAAATTATAGACATTATTCTGAGAAGACTTCACCCAACACACACATAAAGTTAATGCCCTGGTTTAGACGATGAAGATCAGAGAGGGGTGGAATAAACTGGGAATCAGAACCCTTGGGTTCTAGGCCTGGCTCTGTCACTAACTAGCTCTGTGATCTTGGGCAAGGTGCTTCCTTTTTCTGAGCCTTCATTTCCTCATCTATAAAATGGGGATTAAAAACACTTCATGAGGTTGTTATGAGAAGCAAATGGGAAAATAGGTAAAAAAAAATTATGTGAAATCACATAATTTGGAGGGGGGAAGAACATATGTTGGAAAGTATGCAGCTGTGATGTAGACTTATTATTTGGAGGTGGGTGTATGAACTACACTACTATGCCACAGGGGTTTTATATGGAAAACGCTTTGCAAATCTTATATTGAAATGAGTAATATTTATATTAATTTCTGGGGAGGAACAATATTGAAAAGTATAAGGAAGAGGAAGGTATTGGGCGTAAGGTGAAAAGTGGAGGAATGCCCAGACTCAGGTCACCTCATATACAATAAAGACTATGTTGTGAATGTCCTCACCCCTACTCTGCTGAGCACAGCTGTTCTTTTGCATCAGGGCATTCAGATAGCTACAGGCAATGTCATCGTCATCTGAGTCATCATTGACCTCTAACAGCTAAACCTTAAACTGGGGGTTGATCCAGAACGCAGTTGTGTAATGAAAGGAGCTGGTGGTTAGTGTGTGTGTGTGTGTGTGAGTGTAGAAGTTAGTGGTTTTTTTTATTTTTATTTTTTTAGGCAATTGGGGTTAAGTGACTTGCCCAGGGTCACACAGCTAGTATCAAGTGTTTGGTTAGAAGTTAGCGATTTAAACAAAGAGATGTGTTCTGCTAAAAAACAAACTAGATTATAACAATATATTACAAAGATTATACATTATGGCTATATTGGATTTATACCAGGAATGCAGAGATGGTTTGACAACTACTAACATAATTGATTATAGCAATAATAAAAGTAACAAAAATCATATGATTATATCAATACATAGAGAAAAAGCATTTGATATAGTACAACACTCATTTTTACTAAAAACACTTGCAAGTTTGGATATAAATGGACTTTTCCTTAAATTGATAAGAAGCATTTACCTAAAACCATCAGCGTACATTATTTATAGTGGGGATAAGCTAGAAACCTTCCCAGTAAGATCAGATGTGAAACAAGGATGCCCACTGTCACCAATATTATTCAATATTATATTGGAAATCCTGACAATAGTAATAAGAGAAGAAAAAGAAATAGTAGGAATCAGAATATGGAATGAGGTAATAAAACTATTAGATTTTGCAGATGCTATGATGATATGCTTGGAAAATCCTAAAGGCTCAACTAAAAAGTTAATTGAAATAACAGTTTCAACAAAGTAGCAGGATATAAAGTAAACCCACATAATTCATCAGCATTCTTTTTTTTTCTTTTCTTTTTTCTTTTTTTATTAATTTATTTATTTTTAGTTTTCAACATTCACTTCCACAAGATTTTGAGTTCCAAATTTTCTCCCCGTCTCCTCCCTCCCTCCACCCTAAGACAGCGTGCATTCTGAATACCCTTTCCCCTAATCTGCCCTCCCTTCTATCTCTTCTCCCCTTCTCTTATCCCCTTCCCCTTCAATTTTCCTATAGGGTAGGATAGATTTCTATACTCAGCATTCCTAAATATCACAAACAGAATCCTGCAGGAAGAGATACCTAGTGATATTCCATTTAAAATAACTCTGGAAAGTATAAAATACCTAGGGTATACCTGCCAAACAAACCCAAGAACTAGATGGACAAAATCATAAAAAAAACTGTGTATACAAATAAAATCAGATTTGAATAAATGGAGAAATATTAATTCTTCATGGGTATGCATGGTCAACATAATAAAAATGACAATTTTACCAAAATTAATCTATACATTTAATGCCATCCCAATTAAATTACCAAAAATTATTTTACTGAGCTAGAAAAAATAATAACAGAATTCATTTGGAGGAACAAAAGGTCAAGAATATCAAAGGAAGTAATGGGAAAAAAGGTAAAGGAAAAAGGCTTAGCAGTACCAGATCTTAAACTATATTATAAGGCAGTAATTATCAAAACTATCTGGCATTTGCCAAGAAATAGAAAGGTAGATCAGTGGAACAGAGTAAACACACAATTTACAACAGCAAACAGATATAGTAATATAGTGTTTGACTTAAGTTTTCGGGACAAGAATTCATTATTTGGTAAAAAATTGTTGGAAAAGCTAGAAAGCAGTTTGGCAGAAATTGGGCATAGTCCAATCTGTTACACCATTTACCAAGATAAGGTCAAAATGGATACATGACCTAGATATAAAGGGAGATATTACAAGAAAATTTAAGAATATGGAACATATTACCTGTCAGACTTATGGATAGGTGAACAATTTATGAACAAACAAGAGATAGCATTGTGAGATATGAAATGGATAATTTTGATTACATTAAATTAAAAAAGGTTTTGTATAAATTAAACTAATATAGCCAAGATCAGAAGGAAAGCAGAAAACTGGGGAAAATTATTATAGACAGTTCCTCAGATAAAGGTCTCATATCTCAAATATATAAACAACTTTGTCAAATCTATAAGAATGTGAGTCATTTCCCAATTGATAAATGGTGAAAGGATACGAACAGTTTTCTGATGAAAAAATCAAAACAATTTATAGTCATGTGAAAAAATTCTCTAAATCATTATTGATTAGAGAAATACAAATTAAAACAATTTTGAGATATCATTTTATACCTATCAGATTGGATAAAACCATAGGAGGGGAAAGTGATAAATGTTGGAGGGGATGTGGAAAAACTGGGACCGTAATTTATTGTTGGTGGATCTGTGAGCTGATCCAACCATTCTGGAGAGTGATCTGGAATTATGTTCAAATTATACCCAGTTTAATAACTGCCTATACCCTTTGACCCAGAAATACCACAATTAGGTCTGTTTGACAAGAGAACTGGGGAAAAAGGAAAAGAACCTATATGTTCTAAAATATTTATAGCAGCTCTCTTTGTGGTGGCAAAGAACTGGAAATTGTGGGCATGGCTGTCAATTGGAGAGTATCTAAACAAATTGTTGGATATGTTCTTGATGGAATAGTACTCTGCTATAAGAAATGACAAGCTCAATGATTTTAGAAAAACATGGAAAGACCTGCACGAAATAATGAAGAGTGAAATAAGCAGAACCAAGAGAACATTGTATATGGCAACAGCAATATTGTTTTAAGAACAACTTTGAGCATCTAAGTCATTCTGACTTTTATAAAAATCCAAATTAACTGCAAAGGTTCTGTGAAGGAAGATATTTTTTGCAACCAGAGAAAGAACTGACATACACACATATGTATGTATGTATATATACATATACATATATATGTTTAATGGTAACCATCTCTAGGGTGGAGGCAGGGGAGGAAAAAAGTTACATGATAAGTGTTGTTTATTTAAAAGGAATGGAAGGTTGTACATAATAGTTCTGCAGTTTCAGGTGCAATCCTCTTTTTTTTTCTATTCCACTTTGTAATGGAAATGCTTGTTTTATTTCTTAAGTTCAGAATAAAAAAAATAAATGGAATTAAACAAAATAAAAACAAACTAACAAACAAAAAACCTTCCCAGAGTGGATAAACAAAACGTGATAGATGAATGTTATGGTGCTGTAAGGAATGAAGAATGCAATGACTACAGAGAAGCACGGAAAAACTTCCATGAACTGACACAGAGTGAAGTAAGCAGAGCCAAGAAAAACAATATGCACGGCGACTACAACAATGTAAATGTAAATGTAAAGAACAACTACCACAAAACAACAGGAAATGAATGTTACAAAATTGCAAAGAACAAACTTGGCCCCAACGAAGAGATATGAGAAGATATCTTCCTTAACTTCTTTGCACAGGTTGGTTAAAAGCTGTGGAAAATTAAATATAGTCAGTTTTTTTTAATATATTGATAGGTTTTGCTGATTTACCCTGTCCTGCCTGCCCATCTTTTTTTTTCTCTTTCTTTTTTCTTTCTTTCTTTCTTTCTTTCTTTCTTTCTTTCTTTCTTTCTTTTTTATGGAGTTGTTCTCTGGGAAGAGTGAGGGTGAGAGATACATGCAATAATGCTTGCCTGAGAAAACAGATTATTAAATTTTCAGTGTGAGCATTTACATCTTGGAAATCAGCAAATGAAACAAATTAGGTCTCAATTTCTTGTTTTATTAATTGTCTAGACCTAAGAAAAGGATGGAGAAAATGATAATGATGTAAATCAAACTTAAAAGTGTGCCACACAGATATCTTTTTCCTTGAAGAGCCAGTTAAACATTTATCAGCATGGATACATGAGGAAATTTAGACAATATAAAAACAAGAGATGTCAATAAAAATTATTTAAGAGGAAAAAACTCCCTAGGTTTGAAGGAAAAGGGAATTTCGCAGCTGCCTCAGTTTTCTCTTTGTAAATAATGGGATTGGACTAGATAATCTCTGAGCTCTCTTCCAGTTTTAAATCCTATGGATTCTGAGTGAAGTTTGCCTTACTATTTAAGTCCTGAATTCCATATCCACAGGTAGGTTGGGTGCTCAATCACACTATTGTCAGAGAAAAAGAAGATAAAGCCCCCAACAGAGAAATGGGGAATAAAACGGAGATAGTAATGGCAGAAGGAAAGTTTTAGGGAGCTCTCAATCAGTCCAGTGAGTTTCTTTTGCTACCTAGGGAACAATTTTTATTCTTCTGCTTTTCAATCCGCATGACCACAGCCACCCCATCCCATGGCCCTTGATTCTTTGCCATCTCTCTGTTCACCAGAACACCCTCAGAGAGGTCTGGGCTCCCCTGCCCTCTCCTCCCAGTCTCTCCCATTCACAAGGATAATTACTGCAACCTCCTGCCATGCTGCCTTTGTGCCAGCTGCCCTCAGGGAGTGTGCTGTGCCATGGGCTGAGATTGTCCTGGCTGAGGGCATCAGGGGTCAAGTTACAGATTTCCAGGTATGAGAACTGTTGCAAGAAATATGAGAAGGATATATTGGGCTTGGGTGGGAGAAGAAAGCACAAAAGCAGAGAATCCAATCACTACCAGTTCCATGGCCTTCCTCCCACCCCTGGCTAGGCAATGGGGTTAAGTGACTTGCCCAGGGTCACACAACTAGTAAGTGTTATGTGTCTGAGGCCGGATTTGAACTCAGGTCCTCCTGAATTCAGGACTGGTGCTCTATCTACTGCACCACCTAGCTGCCCCTAGGTTCTCTGTTCTGCCCTGGTAGTTGATCTGGTGGTAGAGGGTTTTTAGTAACACAAAGGGCCTCTTCCAGAAGTCAGGGGAAACAATGGAATATCCTCCCTCTCCATCTCTGCCCCATGGTCTCTCTGTCCCTTTAAAATGTAGCTCAGATACCATCTTCTGCATGAAAAGTTTTCCAATCCTTTGAACTGCTCATGTCCTCTCTCCCAAACTATCTTGAAATTAACTGCTTTGTATATAGTCTCTTTATACTTTGAACATATTTACATGTATACTTATTTTCCCCATCAAAATAGGAGCTCCTTGAGAATCGGGGCTATTTGAATCTTTCTAACTGTATCACCAGCACCTAGTTTAGTGTCTGGCACATAGTAACACTTAATAAATGCTTAGGGATTGATTGATCATGGGGTCAGCGCTCACCTCCTTAAGCTCAGTCGCTGAATAAGCATGGCCCCTCACCAGCTTCATGTAAGTCACAGCCTCTGTCCGGCCCCTTGTGGCCTAGAGGATGCGAATAGTGCTAAGCTCAGTGCTTTCAGGGTAGGATTTCTTGAGGTAAAGCTGAGGGAGTTGGGACTGGGGAGAGAATGTGCCAGGATCACAGGTTTCCTCACATTCTCCTCTTCTCCCATCTCCTTCTAAGTACAGGCATCTAGGTACAAGTGAGGTCCTGCCTAGTGGAACCAAGGATGGATGAGAGGATGGTCCTGACCCCAAATGTGGGCAATTTCCTTCCCACGTAGGAAAGTCCAGGGCACCTGTGTCCTGTGGGGTAGAGAGTCCCTTCTGTGTCTTATATGAAGGAGAGTGAGGGAAGAGAGTCCGTTTTGGAGAGATGCCTGGGCCCTGATTCTCTCCACGGGACCATGTCATTAGGGTCTAAGGGGTAGGATTTGTACCACTCTTGCAAATCAGGAATCAGAAAGAACCTTCTTCTCCCCAGGAGGTAATGACCTTTACCCTTGGCCCTCTCCTAGTCCTCAATTCTATACCTAATATACTTATCATGTAATAGTGGTTCAGAGGATCACAAGATAACAGAGCTTAAAAGGACCTCAGAAATCATCTGTTCCAAAACATCTCCCCAGTCTTACAAATAAGGTAACTAAAACCCCAAGATGTTAAGTGACTTGCCCAAAGTCACACAGATGGCTTCACAGGTGGGATTTGAACATAGGTCCTTTGACTCCATAGCCAGTATTGTTTCCACCGTACATACTGTATTATGGTTGCTTCCACAAAAGAGGAAATTATGTGAAAGTAGCAACATGTATTATCTAAATACTCTTCTTCCTTTCCTGTTTCCCCTATCCCTTCGAAATTTAGCATAGTAGTATATACAGTAAGCTCCTAGAGGTCAGGAATTGTTTCATTTTTATAGCGGTAACCCAAGTGCCTAACATAGTGTCTAGCATACAATGGGCACAATCAATACTTATTGATTATTGACTGAATACACATTTGCTGTTGTCATTGTATGTAAGCAGGAACTTAATAAACATTTGTTGTTTTATTATTGTAGTCTATTTTGGAAATCACTGTATTGAAGGAAATAGTAGGGTGTCTTGCTTTAGTACCAAGGCCATGGTCAGACAACTTCATATGTATATATATATGCATATATACATATATATGTACACACACATACACACATATACCCATATATATATAAATATATATACACACACAGACACACATATACACACACATATGCACTGGACTTGGAATCAGGAAGACTCATCTTCATGAGTTCAAATCTAGCCTCAGATACTTGCTAGCTATGTGACCCTGGGCAAATCACTTAACCTTGTTTGCCTCAGGTTCCTCATCTGTAAAATGAGCTGGAGGAAGAAACGGCAAATCACTCCGGTATCTTTGCCAAGAAAACCCCAAATGGTGTCACAGAGAGTTGGCCACGACTGAAATGACTGAACAACATCAAAGTGTGTGTGTGTATATACATATATAAAAAGTCATCATATACACATACACATTCATATATATCATATATATTTATTTATAAGTGTATGTGTTGTTATATGTTATATATAGTATATAAGTGCTATTTTTTAATCAGCAAAAATCTACGTTCTTACCCTCCCATCCCACCCCCATCCCCCAAAAATTGAGAACAAAAGAAAAATAAAACCCATTATAAACATGTATCATCAATCAAAACAAATTTCCATACTGACTTTGTCCAAAATAAATCAGTCTTTCTCCTCTCTCTCAGGAGGTGGGTAGCATGTTTCATCATTAGTTCTCCGGAATCGTGGTTGGTAGTTAGTCTAATAAGACTTCCTAATTCTTTCAAAGTTGTTTGCCTTTATCATATTGTTTTTACTGTATACATTTTCTCCTGCTTCTGTTTGCCTTACTCTGCACCAGTTCATACAAATCTTCCCAGATTTCTCTGAAACCTTCCTCATTTCTTTTAACACAATAGTATTCTACCACATTCTATCTCTTATCATCCATTCCTTATTTTATGGGCACCCCTCAGATTCTCATTCTTTGCCACCTTAAAAAAACTAAATATGTTTTTCTACATATTGGAATTTGTTTTGCTTAGGATTTAATCTTCCTTAATCTACCCTCCTTCTAATTCCCCCTCCCTCTTTCTCTCCTTTCCCTCCTATTTTCTCATTGAGTGAAATGTATTTCTATATTAAACTCTGTGTGTGTGTGTATGTGTGTGTGCACATGTATGCGTGCATATATTCTTCCTTCCTTTGACCAGTTCAGAAGATAGGGAAGCTGACGTATCAGCTGCTAACCTCATCCTCTTCCCTTTTTGTTTGTATAGATGTTTATTTATACCTTGATTATGTGAGATAATTTTCCTAACCTTCCTCTTCTTCTCTCTCCCCCACCCCAGTGCATTCCTCTTCCCCTCTTTCCATTGTTCTTTTAAGATCATCAAGACATAACATAACCACTCCCAGGTCTTGTCTAATTGTGTTCCCTTTACCCTGGAGGATGGTAGGGATCAGACACATGTATCATCTTCAAGTATTCAAATGTAAGCAGTTTCCTCCTTGTTTAGTCTTTATTATTGCTCATTCACATTTACCTTTTAAGGTTTCTCTGCCCTCCTGTGTTTGAACTTTAAAGTTTCTATGCAGCTTTGTTAGTTTCATCTGGAATGCTTCAAAATCTTTTATTTCATTGAAGTTGTGGTTTTTCGCCTGTAAAATTATACTCACTTTTGCTGGGTAAGTTATTCTTGGTTGTAAGCCCATATTCTTCGCTTTCTGGAATATTGTATTCCAAGTTCTCCACTGCTTTGTAGTGGTGGCTGCTAAATCATAGGTGATCCTGACCACAGCTCCTTAGTACTTGAATTCTATCTTTCTGGCTGCTGCAGTAGTTTTTTCTACGACCTAGAAGCTCTGGATTTTGGCTATGATGTTCCTGAAAGCTTTCATTTTGGGGTTTCTTTCAGTTGCTGACCAGTGGATTCTTCCTATTTTCCCTTTACTCTCTGGTTCTAAGTGATCCAGGCAGCTTTCTTTTAAGATTTCTCAAAGTAATAATAAAAAAAAAAAACAACCCACACAAAGATTTCTTGAAATAGAATGTCTAGGCTCTTTTTTGGTCATGATGTTTAGATAGTCCAGTGATTTTTAAATTTTTTTTCCTCAATCAGTTTTTCAGATCAATTTTTGCTATGTGATACCTTACATTTTTTCTATATTTTTAGTCTTTTGACTTTATTTAATATTTCTTGCTGCTTCATGGAGTTATTGGCCTCTGTTTCTAATTTTCGGGGGGTTTGTTGCTTGGTTAAGATTTTGTACTTTTTGTGCCAAGCTGATAACTCCCTCTCCAATTCTTTTTTCCATAGCTTTTATATCTTTTTCAATTTTTTTAGCAAGCATTCTTATTCCACTTATACTTTTAAAAACTCTTTTTAAAAACTCTTACTTCATCTCTTCCCATGATTCTAGTTGAGTTTATGCACAAGCTGTGTTTTGCTCTGAGACTTTCCTTGAAGATAGTTTGTAATCATTTTTTTCTTCTGTATTTGTGTCTTGAACATCCTGCCGCCATAGCTTTTTATGGTGCTGTTCTTTTTTTGTTTGTTTGCTCATTCTTCCAGCTTGCTTTCCTAACTTCAGACTTGATGTTAGGGCTAGGATCTGTGGCACTTCTGGAGAGAAGATCTGGATTGGTCTTGTGGCTGCTTTCTTCAGGTTATTAAATACTCTGTTATTTCAGTTGGAGTCTTGCAAGCTTTCAGTGCTAGTAAAGTGGACTAATTCAGGGAATAGTCTGCTTCCCTCCTGGTTTAAGCTCTGCAAATTTCTGACCTGGATTTTGGTCTGAGCAATAGTAGACTGTGGCTGGACCTCAGCCCTATCACTCAGCTGGAAAGCTCTGTTGGTTCATAGTAATGGAATTGTAGGCTCCCCTTTGGTCTGGGATTCCTGCCCTGGTTATTCCTTTAGAGGCTGGGCTAGATGCTAGAAGTGAGACCTGGCTTTGCTCCTAGGGTCTGAACCCTACTGCTACTATTTTCTTTGGAGCCTCATCTTCTTTTCAGTACATTCATTGCATGGGCCAGGGCCTGCCTACCCAGGAATATCTTCCCCTTGCTCAGATCTCTTTCTTAGTCCACCCTGGATTCTTGACCCAGAACTGCATAGTGCCAGTTGGCCCTTGTCCCCATTGAGATGTCCTGGTATGGTGTCTGGGACTTCTTGCCCTGGTATACGGTCTTTCCCTGGGTGCTGGAGCGATCTGTGAAAAGTGTGCTCCTTCCCATCATCCTCCTGATTCACATTGTCATTGAGTTTGGAATGTCACCCTCCAGAGATCTGCAATCTCTCAAAAGCCATTTCATTTTGCAAATGAGTTTTCAAAACTTGAAATTTTTCTCCTATAGACTGTATGGAACATAAAAATTTCCTTCAAAATTAAACTCTGAATTTTCAAAAAAAAAAAGTATACTCCTGGTCCAACCCTGTCCCCGGCGTCTGCAGATCTCTTTGTCTTTCTCTCTATGCTGAACTAGGATAGATAAATGAGTCACTATGACTTTTTCTGTATTTCCCCTTCAGGACTTGGTCTGGTGCATTTTCTAGATCTGTTTGGAAGAGTTTTCTGGAGAGGAGCTCAGCTATACTACTTGCCCCTAGTCTGCCATCTTGACTCTGCCTGGTCAAATGACTTCTCAAAGGGAAGGCTAAAAAGGAAAACCAACTTATCCCCTATCCTTCCTTTCCACATACATTCCAGGGGTCAACAAGAAGGGCATGATCCTCTGGGACCTAGGCCAGCACCGTACCCTGCACCTATAAGGTATTTAACAACTATTTGTTTAGCTTTGAAAGACTTAAGAACTTTGATCAATTCAATGACCAGCTATGATTCCAGAGGAAAGGACTCCTGGTGAAGCATGTTATTCACCTCCTTTCTGACAAAAAGGTGATGGACTCAGGCTACAGAATGAGACATCCATTTTTTGGACATAGCCAATGCAGGAATATATTTTGCTTGACTATGTATATTTGTTACAAGGGTTGTATTTTTCTTTTTCAATAAATGGGGAAAGTAAAAAGGAGAAAAGGTGGGTTTTCATTAATTAAAAAAAATCTTAAATGTTTATCCAAGTGAATCAGTGTTGGGGACAGTTGGGTAGCCCCCATGGTAGAGAAAGTGATAAGAACATCTCTTACCTCAGTACTACAGCCAATTAGAGACCCTTGTTGTAAGGCCCTCTGGATGAGAGTAAGTAGGTTTTTGGGGGGGGTTTGGAGGTTGTATGTTTTAGCCACATCCCCTGTAAAGTCCTCAGAGCCTTCAGTTGAGGTGCCCCCAGTGAGAGCTTCATATGAATCATTCACCCTGTGGATATGGAGAGGACAGTTAGTCAGTCAACAAGCATTTATTAAGATTTCTCAGAATAATATGCTTAGATGCATAGGATTGGGGCAGCTAGGTGGCACAGTGGATATTAAGTATCAAGGTATGCCAGGCATCGTATTAAGCACTGGGGATACAAAGTGTGGTCCCTGACTGCAAGGACAGCACCAGGGATGCTTGGAGGGTTGAAGAACCAGAGAGACACTCCATTGGAAGGTTTGGTACCTGAGTACCAGAGATACAATAGAGGAAAGTGAGTAACTGGGGGGAGTGAGAGGGCCAGGGGAGCAATGCATTGTTGAGGATTCCCCAAACTGGGGACTCACTTAGCATAGGCCTTCTCCAGCACGGCAGTCCAGAATTCATTCATCTCAGCCGAATGCACAAACTCTAGACAGTTATCTTTTGTGGGCAGCAGATCAACCACCACCACATGTAACCACTCCCCAAACTGCCAGATCTGTGGGCACAGAGATAGCTATCAGTGAAAGGACCTAGGGCTCTACCTGTCTAAGAGTCTATAGCCAGAGCTCCTCCTGGTGGTGGATTCCCAGTCAGGCACCTTTAACATCACTTTTGTTGACCGCCCCACCAACCCCCTGGCAACTGAGAATCAGGATACCCCAGGACTGGTCTCAGCTCTGTAACTAATTCAGTGTGTGCCCTTAGGCAAATCATTTTTCCTCTTCAGTTACCTCATCTGGACTTCAGTTTCCTCATCTGTAAAGTGAGAGGGTTGGATTAGATCATGAATTCTTAGAGCTTTTCGTGTGTCATGGACTCCTTTGACAATCTGGTGAAGCCTATGGACGCTTTCTCAGAATAATATGCTTAGATGCAAAGGATTGGAGCAGCTAGGTGGTACAGTGGATAGAGCACTGGCCCTGGAGTCAGAAGGACCTGAGTTCAAAGCCCAGCCTCAGACACTTAATAGCTGTGCGACCCTGGGCAAGTCACTTAACCCCAATTGCCTCCAAGAAGAAGAAGAAATGCATAAGATTACAAAAGAAATCAATTATATTTAAATATGAAAACATCAATAAAACAAATTTATGGACCCCAGGTTAAGAACTCTTGGAATAGATGATCTCTAAGCTTTCAGGTCCTTTCCTCTATTTCAAGGACCTGTAAGTTTGGCCATTAGAGTATCTATCAGGGTTAGCTAGGCCTTGGGCTCTTTTGGGGCCATCGCAGCTCACCAGGACTCTTGGGGCCTGCCTGTTCCAGCCCACTAGCCCATTTGTTAAAACTGTGTGTTGTTCAGGTTCCCCTGATCACCACTCCCTTCACCCCCCACGCCTGTCCCCTATCCCCCTACTTCTAGTCAGGATAGTAAGTTTATAAGTAGCCAGTATAAAGAGACAATAGCAGGAAGTAAGCAAAGGGGAACCTGGAAGTCATGGACAAACTATCCCAAAGATCAAAGGGGCATAATTTACAAATTGTATTATATATTAACCAAAAAATCACATCGTGGTGCTACGTGCTGAATCAGGGGAAGCCATCTAGGGGCTGCTGTCCGGGCCTTTTCATTCTATGATATAAATCTCAGATAAATTCCAGACCTCCACAGTGAAGATGAGCAGATCACCGATTGGTGCATATAATTTTGAAATGATGTGGACATGTTAACTTTAAAGTTTTACTGATGAGGACCTGAGTTCAAATCCAGCTTCAGACACTTAACACTTACGAGCTGTGTGACCCTGGGCAAGTTACTTAACCCCAATCACCTCACTTAAAAAAAAAAAAAAAAGCAAAAAAAAAAATGGACATTTGGGGCAGCTAGGTGGCTCCGTGGATAGAGCACTGGCTCTGGAATCAGGATGACCTGAGTTCAAATCTGATCTCAGACCAGAGACGTGACACTTACTAGCTGTGTGACCCTGGGCAAGTCACTTAACCCCAATTGCCTTGCCAAAAAATAAAATTAAATTAAAAAATAAAGTTTTACCAACAACTTTGCCGTTATTTGGATATGTTAATGAACTGGTGGCACAGATAAGAGTTACTCTGTTCCTCCCTCTCCAAACTCTGTAAAAATGAGACCTCAAACTGCTGCCCCCAGAGCATTTGCATCTCCTAAGGGTTCATGATGCTCAAGTGCTCCCAACTCCAATCCATGGTTATATAAGTCACTCATCCCCTCCTCATCCCCTTCCTCACATTGCCTACCTTCCTTCACCACCCCATTCCCTGTCCCCATGCTGTCTGCCTCTGTACCCCTTTTTACCACTTGTCTCTGTATAGTCTGTGCCTTTTGCCACCCCCTACCCTCTGTGCCTTATTAAGAGTGATTATAGCCCCACTCCTTGCTACCATCATGGTCTTTGCCCATGGGTACCCAAAGATTCAGATGTACCTGCCTCATTTCATAATTTCATAAATTAATGATCAGTTCACCTGTGTATCTGTCCTTTGTCCATAACTCCTTTGAGGTACCACTGACAATCCAGACTTGGGTGGGTTGGTCTAGCCCTTATTGCTCAGGCCCTTCCCACCTCCATCCATCTATACTTGGGTCCCATATCTCAGTAGAACTGGCAGAAAGCTGAGGAGGTGGCTTTGAGGTTGTCTCTGCTATAGTTTTTTTTTCTTTTCTTTCTTTATTTTTTTTGGGTAAGCAATGGGGTTAAGTGACTTGCCCAGGGTCACACAGCTAGTAAATGTTAAGTGTCTGAGGCCGGATTTGAACTCAGGTCCTCCTGACTCCAAGGCCAGAGCTCTATCCACTGCTATAGTTTTTTTTCTAGGAAGGTCATTGACCTTGTCTCCTTTTCTCTGGCACTCTGTCAGGTCCAAGGCACCCAGACCTTTAAATTGCTGAGAGAGAGACCAAAACAAGGGAAGCTTTCTCTTGCTCCCCTGCTTGAAGCAGACCTCTCTGCTCTTTCTGAAAGCCTAGAGAGTTTTCATTAATTTACATAGCACATATATCCTTTGGCACATACTGTCTTATATATTTTTCCTGCATTAGGTTTTCTCTCCCAGCTAAACTCAAGGCTGGGATTATGGCAGGGATCCCATCTTCTTTAGGCAACCCTAGCGCCCCCTCGACTTTCCCCAGACCAAAATTGCTGAGAGTCAGAAGAACCCCTAGAGATGTGGATGTCAATTTCTTCATCCCAGAAACCTACCCAATTTTCTCCCCACAGGACCAGATTGAATAATGGTTCTGGAAGAAGCTTCTGTGACTCAATCTGTTTAAGTTCTTTATGCTTTCTTTTTTTCTTTCTTTCTTCTTTTCTTTCTTTTTTTTGGCTAGTCAATGGGGTTAAGTGACTTACCCAAGGTCACACAGCTAGTAAATGTCAAGTGTCTGAGGCTGGATTTGAACTCAAGGCCTCCTGACTCTGGGGCTGGTGCTCTATCTACTGCACCACCTAGCTGCTTCATTCCTTATACTTTCTAACAGATAATGATGCTTTAGAAATTCTGAAGTGGTTTGGCCACCAACAGTAGTGGTAGGCCCCGTAAAAGATCACCCTACTCCCTTCCCTGGTGTTCCTGGAGGAAAGGGAAATTGGGCGGGGGTGGGGGGGGAGAGAGAAGGGAGAAGACCAAAGCCCTCATGGTTACTACTGGACCTTGAAGAAGCTTTCTTAACTCAATCTGGTTGAAAATCCCTGCTTTTCCTTAAGAGAGACCAAAGGAGGACCCTCCCTGTGTCCAAGCATTGCCTTCTGCGTTGTCCAGCCTTCTTCAAGGAGTAGGCAAGAGGTGAAAGCCAATGCTCTTGGTACTACTTGGCTTAAAAGAAATTTCTGAGGGAAAACTCCTGCCCTATCTCCCCTTCAACCCAATAATAAAATGGACTCCATCATTTAGAAAAGGCCATAGGGATTCTATGGCACTTTGTCATCTCTCTTTCAGACTGGTGTGGCAGTCAAACTCCTATTAATAAAATGGTTAAAAGAGATATGGACACTATTGCAGTCTCAGTAAAATAATAATAATAATAATAATAATAATAAAGAATAACAAAGTCTAGTCCAATAGAGCTAAAAAAAGAGAGATCTGTTCAGCTCCTACTCCCCTTTCCATTGAAGAGTGAAACACCTCTATGACGTAATAGTTGGTCTTGAGAACTGCCTGGGCAGAAAAATTCATTATCCTGCAACCCATCTGAAGATGCAGTTTCTCTAATTCAGACATTGGTCCTCTGATGACAGATACAGTCTCCTCCTAGCCCCTACTCTTTTTTTGTTTGTTTTTGAGGCAAGTGGAGTTAAGTGACTTGTCCAGGATCACACAGTTAGTAACTATCTGAGGTCGGATTTGAATTCTGGTCCTCCTGACTCCAGGGCTGGTGCTCTATCCACTGCACTACCTAGCTGCTCCTTCAGCTGCTTCTCTTTCTATCTCTCCTGCTTAGTTCAAGCTCAGCTAGTATAGAGAGCTTTCAGAAGCCAGAGTCTTATTCATACCATGGTGAGATATCTAAGAAGTCTTAAATGGAAGAGGCTCTGCATGTGTGTACAAATTTTATATACATATTATATATATACACATATATACACACATACACACATACATATATCTATGTATATGTATGTATGCATATATGCATGTAGATGTATATGTGAGCATATATAATTACATATAATGTATGCATATGTATATATAAAGTGTATGCATATGTATATATACACACATATACACATATATAAGTATGTATACATTTTTTTCCCAGTCTAGATTGTTAATTTTGTTAGAGTAGAGAATTTCCCACATGGAAACTCTCTTAACCAATGCAGAGTTGCCTGGGAGGGACACTACTCAGTGATTTGTTCACAGTCTAGCTCACAGAACCTCTTTTCCCCCCAAGTCTCAGCTTAAGCACCAATAACATGAGCCCTTTTCCTGATGCTCCCAACTATGAGTGCCCTCTCTTCCAAACTACCTTGGATTTAACTACTTTGTATACATTCTCTCTATATATACATATATGTATGCATGTGTGTGTGCATATATGTATGTGTGTATATATGTATATGTGTACATACATATATATACATGCGCACACATACACACCCACAAACACAAACTTGTCTTCCATTAGAATATAAGCTCTTTGTGAGTAGGGATTATTTCATTTCTTGTATTTGTATCCCTGAGACCCAGCACAGTCCCTGAAACATATTAATAAATATTCGTTATTTGACTAATTGATGGTCATGGTATTTTAAGGGCAAGACTTAAACTTAAGTCTTCTTGACATCAAGGCTAAGCCATAGTCCTCTCTTCCCTGTTCCTCCCTTCTAAGTATACACATTTTTTTTAGGTCAAGTTGTGATTTTTATTGTCATAGAGAACTCTCAGTGTGGAAATATCTTCCACTAAGGCAAATCAGGAACTGACAGGATTAAGAGAATTGCCTGAGACACATGACTTAACCAGGGTCACACAACTAGTGTGTGTCACAGGCAGGACTTTAACCAGGACTTTAGCCCAGGTCTGCCTGACTTGAAGGGCAGCCTTTTATCCACCATGATATACAACTGACATTACCTGAAAGTGGAAAATGCCTGCGTAGTCCTCCTGGAAGCTTTGTCACCTGGTAGAGCAGTTTTTCCTGGAGGGTGAGGGAACCCATGGCAGCAAGGAGCCAGCAGTACCCTGGAGAGAGAGAAAAATAGGCTGGCAAGGGTATCACTCCCCTATCTCTGTGCCCTTTGACCCCAGGCTTCATGGTAGCAGAATCCACATCCTTTCCCACCTGACCAAGGTACCCACACTGGAGAATGCTAATAAAAATCCACATCGTCCCCACAAATGGATTCTTGGGTCAGATTTACTGGAGGCCCAGGTAGGCATGAACGAGAGATATTGAGGAAGATAAAAGTTGGCAAAGTAGATTTCCGCACACCTTTTTCTCCTAAGTCTCACCTGAGGGCCAGCTCCTCAAGGAAAGGACCAACTCCTTGGAAAACCACCCTTCCTTGCACTAAGACTTTTTTTGGGGGGGGGCAATTGGGGTTAAGTGGCTTGCCCAGGGTCACACAGCTAGTACGTGTCTGAGGCCAGATTTGAACTCAGGTCCTCCTGACTTCAGGGCTGGTGCTTTTTGTGCCACCTAGTTGCCCCTCTTCCTTGCCAAGGGACAGAAATCCCTTTTCTGATTCTAAATCAATAATCCTAAATCAAAGCTAGATTGTTTATCTTGAGAGTCCAGAGTTCAGACACTTAGCTTTGGAAGTTCACTTTGGTTCGTAGGTCTAAAAATAGTAAATAGTGGCCCAAGGGCCTTCGTCTCTTTCTGGCTGAGTCCTTAGGAGATAAAGCTACAAAAAGAGAATAGTGAATCTGGTCTAAGAGCTATGTGGTGAGGAGAAGGTATGGGCAGAGCCCTCTCTTCTGCCTTTTAGTCTTTTCTGTACCTTGGCAGGGAGTAAGGGTTTGCCAAAGATCTGGACGGAGGCATCTACTGCTAAGTAGATACCAACAGGGACACTATATGCTTTCCACCATAAGATACAATTGACTTATTACCATTATTATTTTTATTACCATTTATTATTACCATTATTACAATTCTATTACCATTAATTACCATTTATTATTACCATTTATATTATTACTATTTATTAGCATAAATAATTACATTAGCCTCATAATCAGCCTCCATAATCACTTGGAAGGAAGAGGAAAGGAAGGAAAGAGAAGCCGAGAGGAATGAAACAACAGGTGAAGGAGAGCAGAGACCTGCTTTTTCCTCCTCCTAATGCTCAAAGAATGAAGGAGTAGGAATGGAGGGAGCATATGGAGCCAGAGACTTTCAGGGCGTGGGTCTAGATTCTCTGTGGTTCCCTTCGCATCCTTTACCTTCCACTTTCCACTATCACTAGAGTAATTCAGACGCAGAGAAACCCTTAGGCAGGTCAAATCTAAAAGGAAAATAATCCCTGGCCCTTTCTCAGGAGCCCCTCAACGGCAATGAATGGAAACTCAGCTGAGGTTTGGAGGGATTTTTTTGGGGGGGGAAGGGAAGAGCTGCAATCCCACATCTCTGTTTTAATGAACATTGTCAGGTTGTAAGAAACTGTCTCATCCATTGACCCAAATGCGTTCTTCCCACTTCCTCACCAAAAGATACCATAGTTTATTCATTACTTGAAGCAGGCCTGCTGAAGGGAAGGAGGATCTGGAATGGAGGGGCCCAGAGGGGCAGCAGGCAGAAGGAAGGAAGGAAGGCTGAGACGCTAACCGGATTAAGGGCTGGGGAATACTGTAGATTGAATAAGGGAAATTTATGGATTGGGGCCAGTCCTGGCTGTCAAAGGTAGGGAGAAGGAATGCCTCTTGCCCATAGTCATATACCTAGTATATGTCAAAAAGCAGGATTTGAACAGAATTCTTACTAATTTCAAGGTCACTAAACCTGTCACGCATGCATAAATACATTTTTAAATTTAAATTTTTATATTTTATTTATTTAAAAATATTTTGTATTTTGTATTTGTATTTGTATTTTTATTTTATTTTTAGGTTGATGTAACCTAATCACCGGTATAAGTATGTCCCAGTGCAGAAACTTCACCTACCCATGCAGACCAGCTTCTCTTCTATAACTTCTATGAAATTTAGAACATGGGCTCTTATGGGGGTGGGAGTGGGAAGAAGAATATGAAATACTCCTCTTACTCTTACTCCCTGCCCTGCTATGACACCCAACCCCAATGCCAGGAGGCAGGTAGAGTGGAGGGTGACTCAGCCTTCCCTACTTCCCATTCTGAGACACCCTACACCTCTTCCCACTCACTATTATATACACATCCCAGGACTCCCTCCTTCAGATTTTCCTCTTTGTGCCTGATGAATCCAAACTGAAGACACAGGGTAGGGCAAGGTGGCTGGCTGCCTTCTGGGAGAGGCTCTGAGACAATCATTCAAAGCTTCTGGGAAGTCATGGGACTCCTCTATGCCTCACAGGAAGGGAGAGGGCAAAATGGGAGAGAAGAGGCAATTTGGGGTTGGGTAATAGGTTTTCCCTAGCTTTAGGGAAATGTTGAAATTCTCCTTCCCTATAAGGTCATCTACTCCCAAATCTGCCCCCCTCCCAATTATTTTCACCTCCTGTAACTCACCCAGAGACCCCTGGCAAACTTCAGTCCTAGTGGCTCCATCCAAGGTGAATTGAGGGCTATCTACAATGTCCTGTGGAATAAAGGAGGTCAGAATCCCAGACAGACCCCTCCTCCATTCCTCCATTCAGGGAACTATTCCCTTGTTGGGATCTGGGAAGTAGAGGATGTTTTAAGGAAGTCCCTGGAGGTTTGGCTGGAATGGGGATACCGAAGTAAGATCTTACTGAGGGCATGGCTGGTCTGGCCAAGGGGAGGAATCAAAGAGTGGAATTGAGCTGATAGGACTGGAGTGTTGCACAAGTGTTGGGGTCAGAAGGAGAACCATTAGGGCTAGGAGTACTGCTCACCTGAGGCCTCTTCCATTCCATGTCTTGAGTTTGAATTGAGGAGAGCCCCAATTCCTTATAGCCAAGAACTTCTGGACCGGCAGGGAAGTATGGGTCTCTGAACAGCTGCCCATTCTGCAGGCATTGTGCCTTAATCCCTTCATAGTCCTGGTTTAGATACGGACCAGCTTTGTCATACCTCCCCAAACCTTCAGACCAAAGCTTGCCCCTCCCAAGATGAGCTGCCATCCCACTGAAGGACATCATGGTCTTGCCACCAAAGGCTCTACCTGTTGGGGGAAAGGTGGTCAGTAAGCACAGGAAAGGCATCCTGTGTAGAAAAGAAAGTCAGGGGGCAGAAAAGAGGGGAGCTGGGAATATTGAAAAGCAAGGGAAAGGGAAGGGGAAACAGCATTATTAAATGCTTATTATGTGCCGGGCACGGTGCTAAGCACTTTAACAAATATTATCTCATTTGATCTTCGCAACAACCCTCGGAGGCAGTTATTAGCCCCATTTTACAGATGAGGAAACTGAGGTAAACAACTTACTCAAGTTCACACAGCTGGTGTATGAGGTTGTATTTGTTTTGTTCTGTTTTTGGTGAGGCAAAGGGGGTAAGTGACTTGCCCAAGGTCACACAGCTAGTGAATATCCACCTAGCTGCGCCCCCCCCTTTTTTTGTATGAGGCTGTATTTGAACTGAGGTCTCCCAGACTTCAGTCCCTAGATACCTTGAGAATAGAGAAGATGACAGCGATCACAAGGTGAGGAAATACAAAGAAATCGGGGTCAACTTTATAGTCACCATGCAGCTGCAATAATCACTTTCTGTATCAGCACCTGGCCCCACAAAGGCCAAAGTGGGAAGAACTAACTGACCGCTCTTTGTAACATCCTAGATACTGTAGACTTTAAGCACCTAAATCAAGCCAAGCCCAGCTGGTCATATCACAGACTCATGGGATGTAGAGCTGAAAAGGCCCTTATAGTTTATCTAGTTTAAAACCCCTTCCTGCTCCATCCCCTTTTTATAGACGTGAAAAATGAGGTCTCTAGAGACTATTGTTCAATCATGTTGCACTCTTTGTGACCCATCTGGGGTTTTCTTGGCAAAGATACTGGAGCAGTTTGCCATTTCCTTCTTTAGTTCATTTTACAGATGAGGAAATAGAGGTAAATAGGATTAAGTGACTAGCCCAGGGTCACACAGCTAGTAAAGTAAGCATCTGGGACTGGATTTGAACTTAGGTCTTCCTGATTCCAAGCCCAGTGCTCTATCCACTGTGCCACCTAGCTGCCCTCTAGAGAGACTGAAGTCATACAAATCTAGTAAGTAACATAGCTGGGATTTGAACTTAAATCTAGTAGTTTTCATCTTCCAGCTAGAAAAGGATGAAGTCTACATTAGAAATTGGATTTTTACAAATCTGACTGAGTCTAAGTATGAATTTTTAAAATAAGGTTTTATTGATGTCTTCTATTTTTTACATCATCATAGTTATCTTCAGTATTTCTTTCTTCTTCTCCCCCTTTCAGGGAGCCATTCCATATGGAAAAAAAAGTATTTTTTAAAGTAAAAAGAAAAAGGGAGGGGAAAAATCAGCATAACTGATCAATATATTGAAAAGATATAAAGATATGTACAATGTGTTACACCTGTGAACCTCCTTCCTCCTCAATGGATTGGGAGTGTCTTCTCAGATGTCTTCATACGAGTCATGCTTGACTTTTAAATTTTTGTTCCCTTTACTCTTGATTTTTTGGTGTGTGACTGTTCTTTCCATTTACGTTTTTTTGTACATTGTTTTCTTGTCTCTGCTTTATTCTACACCAGTTCGTGTAGATCTTTCCATGCTTCTCTGTATCCGTCGTCTGTGATATTTGCTCTCTGTTGACCCCAGATAATGATAATAGTAACTAACATTTATAGAGAACATGAAGGTTTCCAAAGTACTTTACAAATATTATCTCATTTTAAACTCACAACCCTGCGAGATAAGTGCTTTGTTATCCTCATAGTTAGTGATTCATAGAGATGATATTTGAATCCATGGGAGATGATCAGATCACCAAGTGAAAAAGAACAGAGAGAGAAAGAGGGCCCAAGATGGTGCTATGGTATGTGCTTGATAAATGTGTATTTAACCTTAAAGTATTCTAGGTCAGAGGAGTCAAATATGCTTCGTGGTAGCTGAGGACGTTTCTGCTTGCTGCCTCAACCAGATTCAAATGTAATTGGGAAATATTTAACAAAAGAAACAAAAGCACAAGAAAGAACATGGGTAATGTTGATAATGTGGTTTTTTTAAGCCAATATATGGCCTGAAGAAATCACGCTTCGTGGCTTCCGCATCTATTTGGCAACTTTCTTTTTTGAAATTTATTTATTTTTAGTTTTCAACAATCACTTCCATAAGATTTTTGAGTTCCAAATTTTCTCCCCGTCTTTCCCCTCCTCTCACCTTAAGACGGTGAGCAATATGACATAGGCTCTACACATACATTCATATTGAACCTATTTTCACATTAGTCATGTTGTAAAGAAGAATTAGGACGAATGGGAGAAACCATGAGAAAGAAGAAACAAACAAAAAAATTTTAAAGAGAGAGAGCAAATAGTATGCTTCCATCTGCATTCAGACTCCATAGTTCTTTTTCTGGAGGTGGATAGTATTTTCCATCAGGAGTCCTTTGGAGTTGTCTTGGATCCTTGCATTGTTAAGAAGAGATGAGTCTATTAAAGTTAGTCATCGCACATTGTGGCTGTTACCGTGTACAATGTTCTCCTGGTTCTGCTCACTTCACTTAGCACCAGTTCATATAAGTCTTTCCATGTTTTTCTGAAGTCCATCTAGGCAACTTTCTTAAGACTAGAGTTGGTAGAGGAAGTTTACTCAGCCAGGGGAAGCTCCCCTAGACCATGTGTGGGGAACCTTTGGCCTTAAGGCCACATGTGGCCTTCTAGGTCCTTAAGTGAGGTATTTTGACTGAATCCAAATTTTACAGAACAAATCCTACCCCATCCCTGTCCTAAACTAAGAAATCATAGGCCCAATTCCTATATTCATTCTACAGTTGAAGCAACTGAACCTGAGAGAAACTTGCCCATAGTCAGAGAACTAGTAAGTGTTAGAGGCAGAATTTGAACTCAGGTCCTCTTGACTCCAACTCTGTATTGCTCTGGCTACTATGTCAAGCTGACTTGCTTATCTGTGTACTTGTCATATTACCGCCATCAGACACTGAGCTAAATGGGCATAATACTCACCCTACCTCCCTCACAGGCTTATTGTAAGGAGTGATTTGCAAGCTTGAAAGTACTATATTAATGAATTACTTGTATTATTAATTGTTTTGAGCTTTTTCTTGTTGTTATTTATCTCTGTAAACCCAATCATTGCTCATAATAGCAAAGGCTCTCTGCTAAAATTGGCAGCATCTGGTGTGAGTGCTTCCTCCCTTGGGGAAGAATAGCAAACTCTTTGACATTTAGTAGATAAATCCCAGGAAGTTGTCTGGAGCACTGACAGGTTCATTGATTTTTGCCACAGATAATAAACCTCAGAGAGAGAATTTGAACTCAGGTTCATTCTGTCACCATTTCATATTATCTTCTGCATTGCTGGAGTTGATGCCTAATATCTGTTGGATAATTCAAGGAATGCAGCTCTTTCCTCCGATTGGATAGTTTTCCCAGTACCCACCATTTTAAGGAAAGTGTCAGCTAGGTTCACATCTTCAATCCTCAATGGATTCTGCTCCTGACTCTACTCTGGATTTCTCCTCGCTTTCCTCTCCCCAGCTTTCTTTTATGTGTTGTTTTCTAGTGAGTTCAAATATGGCCTCAGATGCTTACTGGGCAAGTCACTTAACCCTGTTGGCCTCAGTTTCCTCATCTGTAAAATAAGCTGGAGAAGGAAATGGCAAACCAGTCCAGTATCTCTGCCAAGAACACCCCACATGGGGTCATGGAGAGTCAGACACGATTGAAAAACGACTTAACAACAAGATAGTGCCTAACATATTCCAGGTACTGAATTAAGCACTTTACAAATATCTCATTTTATCCTCACAACAACCCTGGCAGGTAGGCACTAATTTCATCCCCATTTTACAGATGAGAAAACCGAGGCAAACCGAGGTTAAGTGAAGTTGCCTGGGGGCAGGGACTGCCTTTCTTTTTGCAATTATTTGTATTCTCTTTGCTTAAAGCACACAGTGTCTGGCACGTAGTAAGCTGTTAATAAATGCTTGTCAACTTGACTTGAATGAATGGTGTACAGAGAGGCACGCATGCTTGTTACAGACTGCAGACATATACTGCTGACACCAACACACACAAGAGTGAAACAGACCAGAGTTCCTTGCTACCGCCCCTTTGCCTGGCACCATAATCCCCTCTCAATAATTACCTTATTTTATTCTGACCATTCCTCTTCCCCACATTAAGCCCTTCTTTTCTTCCCCTCTTCCATGGCTCATAACAATCAAGTTGATTAAATTCAGCTTAGTGAACTTCATTCAGTGGCTCTACCTAGTGTGAATTGATAATTGAGCAGGAGGAGATGGCATGAGAAATGTATAGTAATAGATACCATGTATATGGCACCTAGTAGGTGCCAGGCACTAAGCATTTTACAAATATCTCATTTGAGTCTCACAACAACCCTGGGAGATAGGTGCTGTTATGATCCCCATTTTACAGCTAGGCAGACAGAGATTAAGTGACTTGCCTAAGGTCACACAGCTAGTAAGTATCTGAGGCCAAATTTGAACTCGAGTTTTCCTGACTCTAAGCTTGGTGCTCTATCCACAGTCACCAAATCCCAGCTCCTTAACCTGCATCTTTGTAGAAGTCAGGGTGTCATTTTTCTCAGGTATAAACTGAGGGAGTTGGACCAGAAATCAGGAGTAGGGAACCTGTGGCCTCAAGGCCACACATGGTCCTCTAGGTCCTCAAGTGTGGCCCTTTGACTGACTCCAAACTTGAGAACCTAAAGGGCCACATGTGGCCTCAAGGCCTTAGGTTCCCCACTCCTGGACCAGATGATCCCTGAGGTCTCGTCTAGCTTTAAACTCTGTAGTTCCATGAAAGACCATTGTACCAGGAGGTAACAGATATGAGCTCCCTTCTGGCTGGGCCCACTGCCTCTGTAGCCGGCCCATCTCTAAGCTCTGTCTGCCCCAACTTTCACATGAAAGGTTGGAAGTGGATAATATCCAAAGTCCATTTCCCTTGTTGGAGTTATTTGTCTTTGCACAAA